GCACGATACATCCTGTCGTATAAACATGTACGATCACCATGTAATACAATATTTATCGCATAAACATTAACGCTTTGCATGTAAATTTCCGCCTACATTCTCCTGCTCCACCAACTGATATGGTTGAACGTTGATTAACTTCTACTAAAATACTTAACTCGTCAAATATTAAGCATTTGATTCTGTTTAGCAATAACAGATACAAATATTTATTCAAATATAAATCTGTAACCGAGCGTGCCAAGTGTGGTTGGTGCCGCGTTGACTAAGTGGTTAAGGCGTCTGACATTCTGCTACCATTGGCCCTCCACCACTGGGTCGCGGGTTCGAGAACTATGTGGGGCATCACCAGGTACTTGCTGTAGGTTGGTGATTTTTCTCCGGGAATTCCAGCTTTCCTCCACCAACAAAACCTGGTACGTCCTTAAATGATCATAGCTGTTAATGGGGCATAAAACACAAACAAACCAAACCAAAGCCAAGTGTGGTAGGGGTCAAAGGCAAACATTCAGGTGCAATGCACACTAAGGCTAGATAACACGTCATCATCAATGTGTCGCTGAAACTGTGGATAGCTTCTTATACTACGTAATAATAATTATCCAAGCTTTATCAACTTGATAATATTACGGGCACGAGAATAGGATAGAATAGGATTATAATAATGGTCTATTGTTGATGCCACGACAACCATGATATTGAAACATTTTACCTTTTTCATCTAAGGAGATTAAACGCAATCAAGAATAACCGGTAACAACAAAAGATAGACAACGTTTCTTTACCTTTCTCAGGGTGCCTTCTTTGAACTTGCGAACATTGTTAAAATCTTAAATTACGACAATATGGTTTATCAGGACATAGATGCATAAACGATTGATTTAGAGAACATTTTTAAACTATGATGCTTTAATACAGAAGAACAGAGCTGTATGGTTTTTATTTTTGAAATAAAAATGTTTTGTGGCTGGCAAAAGTGATGAATTTGAGAATGACCAAATCATTTTAAACATTTAAACAATAAAAAAAACATATTTATTAATGTATGACAAACTTCTAAACTTAAACTATAAATGTCCTTAATTATCGTTCTTTCATCATTTCCGGAAACACATTATATCTGTTCGTCCTTTTGTATAGTTTTAATATGTAAAAGGACCATATTTTAGATTTCATTGTTATCGAAGGATGACGTTCTTTTCGCGAAAAAGGACGAGAAGATTTAAGATGATTTATTACCGAAAAACGGGGTTATAGAGCATAGTGAACATTGTAAAACAATATCATTAACCTACAGTATACGGATAACGTGATGTCACGAGAACATTAACGTAAGGCGTGGTGTGACATCTTCATCTTTAGGGCTGTTGAAATGCCTTATGTATATTGTTGTTTCTTAAGCAAAACGATTAGCATGATTTACAACATATGTTTTGTTATAGTGATGTGTGAGAACATAACACGCCAATTAGTTTTATAATTATGGCGCAGAGTGAACATTGTTGTATCATAAGCGATACGGACATATCAGAATGATACATGAGGCATGGTGTCACACTTCATTAAGTAGAAGTGACAACATTGTTGTATCATAAGCGATACGGATTTCGTGATGTTAGAAGTGACATATCAGAATGATACATGAGGCATTGTGTCACACTTCATTAAGTAGAAGTGACAACATTGTTGTATGGTAGCGATACGGATTACGTGATGTTAGAAGTGACATATCAGAATGATACATGAGGCATGGTGTCACACTTCATTAAGTAGAAGTGACCACATTGTTGTATGGTAGCGATACGGATTACGTGATGTCGGAAGATCATTACCAAAGTGTGACACGAGTAGTGGTGTTCAACTCCAAACAGTAAAATAGCTAAAATGCATTGTAACTATTTATCATGTGAACTTTGGCTTTATATTTTCATGAGATGTTTAAGATAACAAATATAAGTATTGTAGACTGATGTTTCGATAGCAATGTTAATAAGTTGAAATGAAAAATTACACGTTTAAGATTAAAGGATTTCACGTGAACTATAATGATGTCTATGTCCAGCAATTGTGTTGATTATTTGAACTGATGAACGTCAGGGTTTTACGGGCGTTAACACACAGTAACAATATTGGCAGTATTGGCAGTATTGGCAGTATATAGCATACTTTCAGCGGCAATATATCTTTGTAACACCTTACATAAGGAAACCATTGTGTCCCACTAACATGACCGCTTGAAACGTGATTGCAATTGGTATTTATAATATTTCGTAGTTGTAAGTGACCCGATGATGTTTCCATACAGCGGAGAAACCTAATCGTTTGATTTATCGTTTAACATGTATGTTTAATGGATGTCTTATTAACAATTAATTAATGATTAAACATATACATGATATTTAATGGATGTCTAATTAACAATTAATAAATGATTAAACATATACATTATATGTCTGACTAAATATTATTTATTGATCAATTATATACATTATATTTAAGCAGGATATTAACCAAGGTAATTACGGAATGTACTTTTACACAAATATATGCTGATATTGTTCATAAAACATTTTCTTGTATAAACAAAACTGTTTCATCATTTAAATGCCAATGTATAATTATGTTTTGTAATGTTTACAGAGCTGTGTCCATTATTGAACAAAAATATTTGTGTATAAATTGCCACGAGTGAATGTTTTGGAGGTAAATATTTCGATTAGCCAAATGTCATAGTTTTTACTTGGTTAGTAGAAAATGAGCAATCATGTCTAATTATCCTACTATTATTATCCCCGGCGTTTGCTTGTTTTTGCAAGTGAACAGTGTTTTAGAAAAAAAATCTGAGAGACGACAAGCCGGACAAAATGTCAGAACCAGAGCAGGAAGTTTGTAATATTGAGTTAGTCTAGTCACATTTGACAGGTGTATACGATTTGTTTCGGGGGGGGGGGGGGGGTCCACATACCCTGGACAGCACGGCGACCTTTGCATTAGCAACGTAATGCTAAACTGGACAATGTACTCTCACTCATAAAATATTTGTGCTAATGCCAAATGTCATGTGTATATATGTGTATATATAACCTTGTACCACAACTTTAGACAGAACATTGTGTATCGAACTCTTTAAATATACCTCCAATACATTGTTAAACCTTTCAGAGTTGCTGAATCTGTCCTTGTGGATGAATGAACTACTATTTGCCAACAGGGATGGTTATGAGTTATTTTTAGCCCCGACTGGACGATATGCCTATACATACCGGAAATGTCCTTTTTGTTATATAATATAATAACAAATGTGTCAAAGCATTTTATATGAACGCCTCATCTCAACAAATTATGACAGAACAGTAAATGGAAAAGTTGACAATTTTGAACAAAACATTTGTTTTCCATTGTCCGATTTCTAAATAATTTTCCTTAAAAAAATTGTTAAATGGTCATTTGAGTACACTGAATACTACGTTTTTCTAAATTTCAATTTATTTGGAAATTCCATATCCGATCAAAATGTACTATGGGGGTGATAATTAAATCGTTAAAATAAGAAAGAAGTAATGTTTTCACATAACTTCGTTTTGATGTAAAAGATCATGTTAAAGATGATATGTCTGCCGGAATATTTTATTATACCCATGTATACTTCTTTTTGTTGAAGAAAACCTTGGATTTGTGCGTGTTTACTGTTTTATCATCTTGCATGAGATGAGGTAACGAAATCCTGAAATGCAGAAATGAACCTACCGTTCAATAGTTGACGAAACGTATCTCAATAAAAATCAATGAAACTAGGTAAAAAATGAGCAGAGGATATATATTTACACAGTGTCCCTTGAGAAGTGCATATAAAAAAGACATATTTTGTTGCAAATAGTTTGATTTTTGGACATTGGACATGCTAAGCAAACGTAAGTTACTATATGCTAACTCTGGGCCATTGTCAACAAGTCTTTTTTTTAATTGATTTATTTTTTAATTCCTTTAGTCTTAGCACATCACACACCAACAAAAGAATATAGAAAATAAATGCAAGAATCGAGAGGCAGTTTTCAATTGTCATTGCAATATATAAAAGATTTTCAATTATCATAGATATATTTGCTTGTGTGCAGTCAGTATAAGAAGAATACATTTGGCATTGAACCTAATCATATGGGATTGTGGTGGCCATGTAAATCTTCACTTCCTTTGGAGCCTTTACTATTTTAACTAGCACAGCCTACAGTGTGCTTCTTTGTGATATAGAAATAATTGCTGTTAAAGTATTTCGTAGATTTTATTTTTCCAATTTGATGGTATCATTTATAAGATTGTCTCGACGACACACAATACTACACCACAATGTACAGGGAACTATTATTTAAATGGAGATAGCAGTGTTATCATCAATAATCACAATATGAGACTATCCATACATTCATTTCCGTTCTACAGCAACCTCGACTAATCAACTTTGTCTACCCCAATACAGCAAATTCAATTTGACATTTTTATGATGCAGAGCTATTTTGTTTCTCATGAAATTAATTTCTGTTACTAGTATATCGGTTGATGTGCTCGATACTACGGTTTTGAATTAAACAATAACCTTATAACCAAAAAACCATCAACCAAAAAAACGTCGAAAATGATTAATACGAAATTACTTTCTTTTTTCTTAAAAATATGGTATGTTTTAGCTTATTTCACTTATTTTATTCCATGCCTGTATAACTGTTGTTTGAACTATTCTTCAAAATTATCAACTACAAAAATCAGCATACAAAACACTATCAGACCAGTCTGGCATCAGGAAAACATAAAAAAACATTTCCCTTATGGAAAAATCATAAGGGCAAGGGTCAGGTGGTATGTTGGAAGAAAGGGAATAAGTTACAAATAAAATCCTCTCCTCAAGAAGCGTAGTTCAAAAATAACAACTGGTGTTATTTCATATGATGAAGTGCATTCAAACGTCATGTTGAAATCATTGTAATATACTAGCTTAGAAAATAGAGCATTGTTCTTGGCTGTCAAAACAGACAGTTTATTTACATTACAGCAGGGTGATATAGATTTACATAACTTCACAGCAATTTTCATGTATATTATATAATAAAACATTGTAATAATAATGTAAAAATGCATTTGACGTCCTCACTTCAGTAATCTGCGACGTCAGTTGTTATGTTTTATGTGACTTCATAGGTCTCACAGATACACTGGCAGCACAGGAGAGCGTAGAGATGTTGTAGACATGTGTGCCCACTTCTTCCGGCCTTCTCTATCAATGGTTTCCGCTCATGGGGAGCACATTTCTCACCTGTAAATTCAGAAGACAGAGAATACCCAATACTTCATAGAAAATACGCAAAGAATGACTCTTGAATATAAGTATCCTAATAATTAGTTTCAATCGACGATATTTCCATAAGAATTGTTTATCATCATTCAACCCATGGTCACTAAAATAGTCAGACACGTGTGTCAGGATATGCCCATCACAAAATGTGCCTGTGTGCGAGACTGTTGCATGAATATATATATTAACAAATAAGAAAATTTATTAGGGTTTTTGTAAGACATTTATTTAACGTGTTAGCAGTTGATTTTTTTCGTCGGAAATAGTTGAAATTAACCATGCCGCAATCTGTCGACGGTCAAATCGAAATATCTTTTTAGTAAAATTTACAAATATATCACTATAATTTTTTTTTAATACCAATAACTTATATCTATGTCAAATATAAGCGTGTGAAGCCTTTTCCCAACTGCTACTTATCTCATCAGGCGCAGAATTGAAGCCATGCTTACGTTATTATCATTCATAAGGGAATTTACTAAATGTCACTAGAGCAGAATCCAACGACGTGTTACACTTTGTGTTAGACTGGGTCAGAGGTAATGTTTTCACAATATTATGCGTTAGACTGGGTCAGAGGTGATGTTTTCACAATACTATCTGTTCGAAAGAGTCAGAGGTAATGTTTTCACAATACTATCTGTTGGAAAGGGTCAGAGGTAATGTTTTCACAATATTTTATGCGTTAGACTGGGTCAGAGGTAATGTTTTCACAATATTATGCGTTAGACTGGGTCAGAGGTAATGTTTTCACAATATTATGCGTTAGACTGGGTCAGAGGTAATGTTTTCACACTAGTATACGTTAGACTGGGTCAGAGGTAAGGTTTTCACGATTCTATATGTACACTTAACACGCATTCACCTTAAAAGAAACTGTTCGAAAGGGTCAGAGGTAATGTTTACACAATGTTTTATGCGTTAGACTGGGTCAGAGGTAATGTTTTCACAATATTATGCGTTAGACTGGGTCAGAGGTAATGTTTTCACAATATTATGCGTTAGACTGGGTCAGAGGTAATGTTTTCACACTAGTATACGTTAGACTGGGTCAGAGGTAAGGTTTTCACGATTCTATATGTACACTTAACACGCATTCACCTTAAAAGAAACTGTTCGAAAGGGTCAGAGGTAATGTTTACACAATATGTTATGCGTTAGACCGGGTCAGAGGTAATGTTTTCACAATACAATGTGTTCGAAATGGTCAGAGGTAATGTTTTCACAATACTATCTGTTGGAAAGGGGGAGAGGGAATGTTTTCACAATATTTTATGCGTGAGACTGGGTCAGAGGTAATGTTTTCACAATATTATGCGTTAGACTGGGTCAGAGGTAATGTTTTCACAATATTATGCGTTAGACTGGGTCAGAGGTAATGTTTTCACAACACTATATGTTCGAAAGGGTCAGAGGTGATGTTTTCGCAATACTATCTGTTCGAAAGGGTCAGAGGTAATGTTTTCACAATATGTTATGCGTTAGACCGGGTCAGAGGTAATGTTTTCACAATACAATGTTTTCGAAAGGGTCAGAGGTGATGTTTTCACAATACTATCTGTTCGAAAGGGTCAGAGGTAATGTTTTCACAATATTTTATGCGTTAGACCGGGTCAGAGGTAATGTTTTCACAATACTATGTGTTCGAAAGGGTCAGAGGTAATGTTTTCACAATACTATCTGCTCGAAAGGGTCAGAGGTAATGTTTTCACAATATTTTATGCGTTAGACTGGGTCAGAGGTAATGTTTTCACAATACTATGTGTTCGAAAGGGTCAGAGGTGATGTGTTCACAATACTATCTGCTCGAAAGGGTCAGAGGTAATGTTTTCACAATATTTTATGCGTTAGACCGGGTCAGAGGTAATGTTTTCACAATACTATCTGTTCGATAGGGTCAGAGGTAATGTTTTCACAATACTATGTGTTCGAAAGGGTCAGAGGTAACATTTTCACAATACTATCTGTTCGAAAGGGTCAGAGGTAATGTTTTCACAATACTATGTGTTTGAAAGGGTCAGAGGTAATGTTTTCACAATACTATGTGTTCGAAAGGGTCAGAGGTGATGTTTTCACAATACTATCTGTTCGAAAGGGTCAGAGGTAATGTTTTCACAATACCATGTGTTCGAAATGGTTATAGGTAATGTTTTCACAATACTATGTGTTCGAAAGGGTCAGAGGTAATGTTTTCACAATACTATGTGTTCGAAAGTGTCAGAGGTGATGTTTTCACAATACTATGTGTTCGAAAGGGTCAGAGGTAATGTTTTCACAATACTATGTGTTCGAAATGGTCAGAGGTAATGTTTTCACAATACTATGTGTTAGACTGGGTCAGAGGTAATGTTTTCACAATATTTTATGCGTTAGACCGGGTCAGAGGTAATGTTTTTACAATACTATGTGTTCGAAAGGGTCAGAGGTAATGTTTTCACAATACTATGTGTTAGAAATGGTCAGAGGTAATGTTTTCACAATACCATGTGTTAGACTGGGTCAGAGGTAATGTTTTCACAATATTTTATGCCTTAGACTGGGTCAGAGGTAATGTTTTTACAATATTATGCGTTAGACTGGGTCAGTGGTAATGTTTTCACAATAGTATGCGTTAGACTGGGTCAGAGGTAATGTTTTCACACTAGTATACGTTAGACTGGGTCAGAGGTAATGTTTTTACAATTTTCTATGTGCTAGACTGGGTTAGAGGTAAGGTTTTCACAATATTCTATGTGTTAGACTGGGTCAGAGGTAATGTTTTCACACTAGTATACGTTAGACTGGGTCAGAGGTAAGGTTTTCACGATTCTATATGTACACTTAACACGCATTCACCTTAAAAGAAACTACTACGGCACTTGGTTTGCTAAACGACTTGATAATTCATGTATGACATAAAATCGTAATAGCAAAAAATAATCGTCCAAAAGTTTGACAGGAAATATCGTCATTTTTTAACCGACACGAAGTTGGTTACTTATTACATTGTGCTCAGTTGATATTCGAACCTTAAAATCATAATCAAACCTCCGATGCCGCTTTTTAACACCTTTACTACAGCATGTCAATGTCTTAGGTATTCACATGCAAAAGGGCATCAACGAAACCTGTAGGCTAAAGATGCCTACTGGTCTCTTTTTCTAATTTCAGTCTAAAAGTATTACTTTTTTTCACGTGCCCGCAACGTGACAATGCTATCATATTGATAAAAAAAAACGAACGTTAACGGTACGGTACCTTTAATAAAAAATAAAACCCGGAGTGACGTTTTCCTCCAAAAGAGACAAAACAACCAAAAAAACAACCAAATTAATCTCAAATTAACTCATCTTATATCGTGCATGTATGCCTTATTGGAGGTAACCTATACCAAGGTGTTCGTGTTCAAGCTATAAAACATTTCCAGTTTTGCTTACAATATTGTCAAGGAAATATTGACACTATTCTTTGTGAAAGTAAAGGCAATCATTACATCGACTCAAAACATCCATTTACACGAGAAATCTATGAGAGACAGAGATACACTCTATGCATACCAGAGGGATGTCTCGGTCGAGATAAGGCTGATGGCTCGATGACTGAACCCCAATCCATTATTTCATTATTTAATTCCAATCGAGCTATGTGCAAAACTCTATCCAACGTGTGGCATTTTATCAATAGAGTACACTTGACATCGTATTAAAGAATGCCGATCGCCTCCCGACATCTAATATATTTTTTGGCTCTTTGCCAAGTTAAACTTTTAGGATAGAAATATACATATACGAGAACTTCAATAAACAAGGCCATAACCCTTATACAGGAAGAGATGAGACAACAGAACCAAAAGAAACCGATTATGAATCAATACAAATATTAGTAAATTACTTAAACAGAGGCAATTGTAGGTGCTTCGGAAGGTAAATGTGCAAAAGGAAAACAGCTAGGTCCCTATTGAAAGTTACGTTCACTAACCTGCAACGTGCAAATATTAACGTGAATTTGTTTTCATATATTATATTCATTTATTTAATTTGAGATTCACAAGTTAACACACTTATAGAACTACCCATACAGTTTTAGATATTTATTGCAAGATATAGTTAAGAACAAACAATACAGAGTATAATTACCGATGCCATCTCCAGCTTTGTTCCGGTGTGAGGTATCCTCCAAATATTGTATCCCTTCACCAACAGATCTGTTACAATTCTGAAACAATTAAAATGTTACGTTTACTTTCATCTTTCAAGATACAAGGAGGAATACTCTACTGGTGTATTGCTTAGTCCTTGGTGTTTGCTGTAACCTTGCTAGCCACAATTATTTTTTTCGAGCAGTAACACGGTTCATAATATACACACTTTACTATTTATTAAATTTGAAATTAACCAGTACACCTTACAATTTTGAAATTCATAAATTAAAGGGTATTGCGCACACACTCCTTTCTGTTTCAACAACAGTTAAAACCAAATTGGATATTTAACGTTTTAGCCCCTTTCATCACCAATGAATCCTAGAAGTTATGCTGTATGATGCAATGTAATTGAGTTTTGCCATTTTATATCTATTACATATACCGAACTTTAAAGTTGCAACACTAGGTTGTGTGTGTGCTATGTTCATCTTTTATACTTTGCATCATTTAAGCATGACGATACCCCGATGTTTAAAAAAACAACGGATGTTGATTGACCTTTACTTAGATCTAATGTTGCTTTAATGATACATTATTCTTGATGACACTTAACTACACAGAAATGAAAATGATTATTCCCAAGGCATATAACCAAACTGTTTGTTACAACCCGGTATTTACATTTTCCCTCAAGCGTCTTATTAGACAACCTTTGATAGTAAAGGCGTCATGGGTCATATGCCATGACACTATGTGTTTTTTAAGTGTAATATTCAATCTTTATTGTTAGCCTTCTCAGCTTATTGATCAAAATAACGTTACAGCCGTAAGATGAAACTTGCTGTAAATATACTTTTTATTTTAGATTCAAAGGAAAGAATATAACAAGTAATGACATGAAGGTAACCATACGTGCACAACCTGCATCATTTTGTGTGAGTGCAATTCACGTGTTCCATCAGGGAATGTTCAGCCTAAAGTGCTGTTAGCTTAACGAGTCGTGCAGTTAATGAAAATAAATGTGTATCTGAAAATAATCAAATTTATTATGCTTCAGATCTATGGATACATAGTTTTAAATCCTTAAATATATAATTTAAGTCATAAATTGATATTTCAATAATAATTTATAAAAGGAAAATGCGATCCTTTTAAAAATTAAACTGACTGTGCTTTGCAAATTGGGTCCAGGTAATATTCCTGCAACTATGTAGCTTAAGTGTGTAGTATATGGAATGCCATGTCAATTTAAACTGTGTGCTCATTAGATACTGGTGCTGTGCTGTAATCATGTCGGTTAAATCCTTAGGCCACGTTTTGATCTGTCAATGTGTCTCCATTATATGATCGTTAGGCATCTAGTTGGCGTCATAGATTAACGATTTATCAGGCAAATGTTCGCTGTCTAACTATTAATGTGGGAGTGGATTAGATTAAACAGTAATCACGTGTATGTTAACTTCAGACATTAACAGATAAATATATATAAAAAAAAATAGTTGAATATGCATGAACTAATTTCGCAATGTTTGAAATTCAGGAGAATAGTCGAAAATAAAATAAAGAGAAATGAACCATGATGCACAGCATCGTCAGCGGGTTGTGAGCTCCACTGTGCTTTATCAAACGAATTGACCTTCATTTGTAGTTTAGCCCATTTCATGAGAGGAAACTAATATTCGGACTCCCTGCATACAATGCAATTTGGATCCTTTTCTTGAGTGAGAGAAAAATTGATGTGCTGCCCCCATTGTATATTTGAGTTAAAACATTACACGTTAAGGGTTACTCTGGTAATTCACTAAACCGGACGTATACGTTAGCCATGACATGTAATGTTTAGGCTTGTTTTAGACAAGTTTATTTATTATTTTCCAGCTCAGTTAAGGAACTTATCACGTGACCATAACGGACGAATCAAACGTACTAGAAAGTACTAAAATGTGCTGAATACCACTTAAGATGTAACATAGACGAGTGATTGTGACATCATTTTCAATGTTGTCCGGATGACTTGACTGATAGTGACATTTGATTGTCTCATCGAGTTAGCATGAGTAGAAATGTAGAAACATAGTACAAGCCTTCAGGTTTAAATTCTGTAAATTCCACTATGTGATATAAGCATATATAAAACACAAACTGAAGTAGGAAAAGGAAATATCTAGCAAATATAATTAATATAGTTGATATTTACATTAGCAAGAAATACAATACTGTCTTTATTCTAAGTAAGAACTCCAAGTAATAACCATTTGTATTAAGGATAATTATAATACTACCAAAATCTGTAACTACACATTTGAAAAGCATTTTCTAGCATTACAATAGCTCTGAAAAATAATTTCTGAAAAGAAAACCATACTCTACGGGATTTTACCATAAACTAATAAATCTGATAAACAACAGAGTACTGAGAGCAAACATATGCGGGTCTAGATCGACTGAGCTACCTGGTCAACATAAGTGTCCTGACCAAACGTTGCCACATTTATATTTTGTCAAAACACACATGTATAAGAGCTATATTTATCCTTTAGCGTCTTGAAGAAAATATTATTGAAATCCACATCGATCGTCAGAAATGCCTATCAAGTAAAAGCCGAGACATGCTTTGTGAAGGCAGTTTTGAAGCTCTCCATGTATTGGTTTTGTTACGAAAACCTAAGATGTTTATTCAAGATAAAATATAAGGCGTTAAGCTCGAGAAACATGGCATGCATGTGTTTATTAACAAGCAATCAAATGGGGGGATGTTTAAACAAGATAGATGCATGGCAGTGCACCATTACTGATTGTCAGAGTCAGTTAATATGAGACGCCATGAATCGAAGGTTTTCCTCTTTGTCTTGTTCGTGGAGACGAACAATAAACCTAAGTATGTGTGCTGCCTTTGAACTTCTTCGTTTCCTTCCTTAACTATAAGCATACGCTTTCTTATCTATATTGTCGTCTTTGTCACGTCGTTGTCAGAAAACAATATGTCGTAGTTGAGAACCCAGGTCCCGACCTTTGATATTGTTCTTTAAATGTGGCTCTGTCGTCCTTGGACACCATCTCAATACGACCCTAGCTGAGGACGTCAATCACACTCAAACTTATTTACTTTAAATTTCTTACTAACATTATCGCAGCTGGTAAACAAAATCATTGCATCTCTGTCCAATAAGACGTTCCACAGAAAAAATATTAGCAATAATAGCCCCTGTTATGAGAGATAGGTTATAAAGTTCAAGTCAAATGTGTAATTTGTCATTTTTATTAAGTCTGGTAGACAGTTTGCAAATTGCCCCCATGAACATTGTGGTGTTTCCGGAAAATCTGTCCGGAATGCGACTCTTTATTACTCGTTTCTTGCGTATCCGGATTGTCCGGATTTCGGTTTCTTGTTTTAGCAGTCTCCTTGAAAATGTCCGCCATGTTGTGCAAGTCTGTTTATACAGAAGAAATGACGTTTGCATTACTGTATGCAATATGTTTTGATGCACCACAGAGTAAGTTTAGATTGTTTAAATCATGTACTTTATGTGCAGTGTAAGTTTCTCTGAAGTTGATAGGTTTAATGTTGATTTATCCGACATGTAAAATCGGTGTTTGAAATTTCGCATTTTTCTTTCGTGGCATTATGGAAAACATGGTCACGTAATTTTAGATATTTTCTAGATGATCGTGTTTATTATTTGTTTGATTGCATATAATTAGGTAAAAACACTGTAGACTTCCCGTTTATGTGATTCAGTGATAATTACATGTACGTGTAATTTCCGAGTCGGTACATTTTGTATACACAGATCCTGTCGTGATTTATGAAAATTGGCATAGTGTGCAACGTAGTCTGGATATTTTCGTATTCCTATTTTGTTTACTAGTTTTCAGTCTGATGAGTTATTTCGAGTGGTAACAAAGCTAAAATCATGATGTTTTGTCCTATTTGTGGTAGCATGTTATAGCGTCAAGGAGTAAATATAACTTGCTGTATTTTGACATTGTTAGACTTTCGTGTAATGTTAGTTTAATTTCATGTGTTCCAGACTTTTACCCTCGCTGGAGGAGGCAATAAACATCGAACTAGAAGATGTGTTTGTTATTCTGCACAAACATTTTAAAGGTGCTAAAATTGAAACCGTAAGATAGTTGCATATGGATTACAAACCAACATTTAGTATAAACCTTAATTTTACTTGTGTCAATAAGTATGTACAATTACCAAGACATTTCATTCCGATGATTGGAAAACAAGTACTTTTGTACTTATAGTCTTTCTCATCGTTTATAACAAGCTTAGCTGCTAGTACATACATGTATATACCTTTGCAGTGATAGTCTGAATATGTACAAAAGAAACTGTTTAGAAAGAAAGATAGAACATGATATTAGGGATAAACATTTGATATGATATATTGAAATGATATATTCAGGAAACGATCATCGTGTAGCGAAAACTATGCTGGCATGTTTAAACCCGATTTAAACAATATAACATTGACTAACCGAAATGTTCAATCCGTAACACTGACACCTTTATGCAAACTTTTTAACAATCAATATAAAACGGGAATTGGAAAATACAAAAACGTGTGAGAACGTTTTCAAAACATTGTAAAATTAAAATTTAATAAAAAATATATTTCGACAATGACAAGTCATGGTAAAGTACAACTGTGATTATGGCAATACCATCCCCAGACAGTGTTTGGTACTCATTGCTAATATATTCACAATGTGATGGTCCAGGTATCGATTCACGTCAGGCTTATAACGAGTTCCCAGCTGCCGAACTGATATTAAGTAATAAACGTGCAATTGCATGTCTGTGTAGGCGGATTTTTCTCTCCAAGCAAGACAAGCTGGATTACCTCTTTTTTATGTTTAATGTAAATTGTCTTATACTTAATATTGATTGAAACTTGAAACACGCTGTGATAGGTATTCGATCCATAACGGATGAAACAGAACAAAACCTCAAATACATTTATTCGAAAATCCGTAAAAAAGTCGAAATTAAGAAAACTGTTGATGTGATATTAGTTGCTTAATCTACACAGATATTTGATCAAAACACAACAGATTG